ATACTACAAGCAGTTATTTCAACATGATGTCAAAATAATGTTAAGCTGGAGGACTTTGACTCCTGCAGCCCTGATTTTATGAGGATTAAGGGAAGTCAGAGAAAGAGTGCTCTTTCTTGTACTTCCTGCTGTGTAGACAGCGCCAAAAGCTAAAATGAGCTATTTTGACTCAAGTTACACAATTGACATAGCTCAAGTTGCATAGCTTATTTCGGGTTTAGCCCTGCTGAGTAGACGTGCCCTTATACTGGACAAATTCTCAACTGCCCATGCAAGTAGTTTTAAGTCCTCTTTGCACTGCTAGGCTATGTCTACACTACAAGGTTTTTGCAGAGTGGTTTTTGCACAAGAAACCCCTATTGGAAAAAGCCATGCAGTGTGGACACTCTCTTGCGCAAAAGCACATCACTTTTGCGATGCGCTTTAAGGTCTGGACACGCTTTTGCATAAAAGTTTTTGCTCAAGAACTCTTCCACAAAAGGCTTCTTGCACAAAAACCCTGCAGTGCAGACTAAGCCTCAGGGAGCATCTACACTGCACCTGTAGGTCGAAATAAGATACACAATTTGCATAGCTCAAATTGTGTATCTTATTTTGATCTAATTTTGAGAATTACAGGGATGAGAATTACAGGGATGTCCAAATAGTGAGTCTGTTATTTGAAATCTATTTTGAAATAATGGCCTGGTTCAAAAGAAATGGAATAGCTATTTCGGGATACCTCTGGTATCCCAAAATAGCACACAGTCTAGATGTAGCCCTAGAATTAGGCTAAGGGGATTTAATATGGTGATACCCATGTATATAGAGAGTATATGTCTTCTTGGCAACTAAATCCAAAGAGATTCAGCTGGCCTCTAGGAAAGGTCACTTCTGTATCTAGGATCAGTTTGGGGAAATCCCAGATCATCTTGGATTGCTGGTTATTTAACTCAAACAATTTAACACTGTAAAATATTTGGGCTTGTCTCGGGTGTCACGTTATTGGATTGTGAGGGGAGCAGCTGGGTCACTGCTGCACCCATAGGGGGGTTGGTATAAAGGGGGCCATGTGAGGGGTCAAACAAAAGCTTACTTTCTTCTGATTCTGTATCTGCTCTTTATATATCTGTATAATGTCTGTATGTGGAGTTAGGGATCTGTACTCCGTATGGAGACTGGAAGTCTCTCTGAATGTGCTAGAGTAATGGGCTAGGAATGTTTGCCTATGGACATGCTAATGAGCAAAGCTCCAGGGAACAATGGGCCTCTGAAGGCCAAGGACACACCTGGCGCCACTGGCCACGTGATTCTAGCCAGCCTGGAAGAAACTAAAAAGGAGGTATAAATATGCCATGTGGTCGACTCCGTGTGGTCTTCAGATCTGCTTCGGACCCGAGATGCGGCTTTGCAGGGAATCACGAGCCGGGAAGAACTGTGGACCCATCCTGTTATAGGATGTACAACAAGGACTTTTAAGCCAGCAGCTATAACATCTCTGCTAGAGCCTGCATCGAGAACTGTGAGATTCGATGCATGTAATGTATGATCATTTAACAACCTTATTCTCATGCTTTTCTTTCTTGTAGTAATAAACCTTTAGGCTACGTCTACACTGGCATGATTTTCTGAAAATGCATTTAACGGAAAAGTTTTCTGTTAAAAGCATTTTCGGAAAAGCGCATCTAGATTGGCAGGATGCTTTTCCGCAAAAGCAATTTTTGCGGAAAAGCGTCCGTGGCCAATCTAGATGCGGTTTTCCGCAAAAAAAGCCCCGATCGCCATTTTCACGATTGAGGCTTTTTTGCGGAAAACAGTACTATGCTGTCTACACTGGCCCTTTTGTGCAAAAGTCTTTCGGATAAAGACTTTTGTCCGAACAAGAGCAGCATAGTATTTCCGGAAAAGCACTGACAATCTTACATGAGAACGTCAGTGCTTTTCTGGAAATTCAAGTGGCCAGTGTAGACAGCTGGCAATTTTTTCCGGAAAAGCTGCTGCTTTTCTGGAAAAATTGGCCAGTCTAGACACAGCCTTAGATTGTAGAGTCTAAAGGATTGGCTCAGCGTGATTTGTGGGTAAGGTCTAGAGTGTACATTGACCTGGGAACTGTGGCTGGTTTCTTGGAACCGGACAGAATTTGTTCGGGGAAGGTGAGATTGGGTTCTAAAACTCCTCACCTGTGTATGAGGCCCGGGGCCATCTGGGGCATGGATAGTCCTGGGCTGTCAGAGGGGTTTTGCTCGTGAGGCTTCAGACAGGCAGCTGAAGTGATCTGTGGGACTGATTTGTGGCCTGTTTGGGAAGGTCTCCTGTCTGGGGGCTGTAAGGAGCCCCAAATTTGAGCAATTCGCCCTGAGTGGATGCCCTCAGCTGTGCCCAGACCCGGACCGATCTTTCACAGGAAGGTTGCTTAGGTAGATGGTCACTGAATTCTTGGGATCTTTCACAAGTTTCAGTGTATAATGGGCTGAGCAGATCCTTAAAACTTAGGGAAAGTTCTGAACTTTACAGCTTGGGTCTTTATCACTCTCCTGGGATGAACCAAAATTTGAGATCTGAACAACTCCTTGCATGCTGAGGAAATTTGGATCTGGATCTGAATTTTGCTGGTGAATCAGACTCCATCTATAGTGCCAATACACACATCTCCAAAACACTTCTCAGAAATACAGGGAAGTCAGATTTTTGTGGTCTGATTTAAAGGAATTGTCTTGAACAAGACCTAGAATTATGCCCTATTTGATCAGATAAGAGAACTCTATCTAGCTTGTGTGAATTGCTTACTTTCATATGAAAGTTCCCCACCCCTTAAGCTATTATCTTGTCATGATGTGATGTGTTTGTGTAAATGCATTATTGGCCCAAGACTACAATAATGCTTTATGCATCTATCATACCTTCTGCATGAATTAAATTGCTACACAAGTATTAATAAACTCAGCCTTTCAATGTCCATGTGAGGCAGGGATGTAGAAAATGAGGCAAAGTGAGATAAAAGGACTTGGTCAAAGTCAGCCATTCATACCTTCGCTAAATACCAATGTAACATTACTGGTATAGTTAGACTGACGTGGACACTCTTACTACAGGATGAGATTGGCTTTTGGGGATTTTAGTTTAAATGCTTTTCTAGGGGTGTTAATGAGGCGCAAGGCTTTTGGGGCTAAACTGAAAAAGGCACTTTAAAGCTCAGTTTCCATTTAGATGTTTTACCACCATAACTTTGTCAGAGAAGGGTTCAGTTTTCCTTCTTGAGACAGTTATGCTACTAAGGGTGGTCTAGACTACAGGGTTGTTTTTTTTTAAAAAAAGGCGCTATGTAATGCAAACTGTGCTTTTTCAAAAGAGAGCATCCAGACTGCCTGGGTGCTTTCTTTCGAAAAAGCAGCTTGCTTTTTCGAAAGTACTGGTTGTAGTCTAGATGCTCTTTTTTGAAAGAGGCTTGCAGTCTAGATGTAGCCTAAAAGTCCTAGTAGAGATACAATTATACTGGTGGAAGGTGTTTTATATGAGTGTAGTTTATTTCACTTCACCTAACCAGAAGGGGGAGCGGAGCCAGCTGGAACCAGATTGCTCCATTTCCTTCTGCCACAGTGAAGTAGGTGACCCAGCAGGGAGATGGCAGTGGAGTGAAGCAGACTGACATGCACTGCTTACCCTCTCCCACAGCTCCCACTACTGCGGTGAATGCACAGGGGCCTGACCCCTGCTGCTGGCCCAGGCTCCCCAGGTCTCCTGAGTCACCCTGGCCCCCAGGGGCTAATTGACATTTGGAGGAGCATCCCATCCATAGGACAATTGGGGCAGCTGCTGTGGGGTACCCCAATGCATGAGTCCAGAACTGCCCTGAACTGTCCTATGGATGGGACATGTCTGGGACTGGGACTTGTGCTTTTTAACATATTCACTAATAATCTAAAAAAAGGTGAACAGGGAAGCAGCACAGTTTGCAGATGATACAAAGATGCTCAAGAATGTTAAGTCCAAGCAGACTGTGAAGGGCTACAAAGGGATCTCATAAACCTGGGTGGCTGAGCAACAAAATGGCAGATGAAATTCAACACTAAGAAGTGTGAAGTAATGTTCATTGGAAAAGATAATACCAGCTATCCACATACAATGATGGTTTCTAAACTAGCTGTTACCATGCCAGAAAGAGATCTTGAAGTCACCAGGGTAATTCTCTGGAAGCTTCTACTCCTTGTCCAGCAGCAATCACAGAGGCTATTGGTATGTTAGAGATTATTAGGAATGAGATAGAAAATAAGTAAATTCAAGGGATGCGTGCACGCAGAATATTCCTTCTTGGCGTCCTTTCAATAGCTCACAATTTGTTAAGCTTCTACAAAAAAAAAGTTTGAGAGGTGACTTAATTGAAGTGTCTCAAATGCCTTCCTGGAGAGGAAATATCAGATATTAAAGGGTTGTTGATTGTTGCAGAAGAAAGACAGAACAAGACAAGTGGCTGGAAGATGAAACCTGACAAATTCATATTAGAAATAAGGCACAAATATTTCAGTGAGGATGATTCACCATTGGAACAAATTACCAAAGCAAGTGATAGATTCTCCATTTCTTGATGTCTTCTAATGAAGACTAGACGTCTTTCTGGTGTGTGCTGGGATCAAAACTTAGCTACTATGATAGACAGGAGGGCTGGGATATACAGGGGTCAGATTCGATGCTCTAATAGTCCCTCCTGACTGTAAAGTTTACTAATTAATGAAAAACTAAACATGGCATAGGGAGCAGCCTCTGGGATTTTATTGTGCATCCAGCTAGATCCCCAGACTCAGCTGCCATTAAGTGGGATGATCCAGGGGATGCCACTCAAACATACAAAGAGACTGACCAGGGTTAAGACAACAGCTGTACAAGGGAGTGGTGGAAGTGACATCACAAAGGCCTGTTGCAGGACCTCAGCCTATTGGAGGACAGTGGTGGAGAGATGGTGACCTCATAGAGAGACCCTGACAACAGCCAAGCAGGACAGAGGCATAAGGCAGGACAACCTCAGACTCCTGTGGCTTTGCAGCAGCAAGGCTCCTTCTCAAAGGCTCTCCTTGAAGACTGAGAATTAGGGTCAATGTACTTGAGCATGAGGAGGAACCTCATTGGAGTTTTCTCCTTCCCTAATACTCATTTTGTAGTGCCCCTGGATAGAAGGTAAGAGCTTCAGAAGTTTGAAACCCTTTCAGTCTGATTCACATGGTACCAGCTAAATTATAGGCATAGAAATCACTAGGTTAAGGCGATTTGATTTCCTACCAAGGGCTTTGTCCCATAGTCACTGGGGACATTGGGATTTGTCCTTTTAAGTTTCCCCTTCCCTCTTTCTTTCTCTTCTTCTCTTACTACTTTTCCCCTTTTTCCATTCCTCCCTGTTTCCATTAAGGAGGGATATGTGTGTGTCAGGAGGGTTTACTCTCACTGTGGGATGCCTCATAAAAAGATGGGACTGGAAGACTGGTCAGACTGACCCTCTCCAGTGGTGACCTGGGCCATCCTTTTGGACTGCTCCTGAGACCCCTCCATGGTCTGGCTCTCAGAGTCTCCATGCTGATGGGTTGAGCAGGTGGCTATTGACAGAGAAGGCTCAGGTCATTTTGTTCTCCTTTAAGACCAAACAAATAAGTCACAAGTTGATTGTGCTGCTTCTCTGCAATTTTTGTCACTGTGTAGTTTCTGATTCTATTGTTCCAATTCTTCTCAAATACTTGCCGAATACTGACTCTGAACAATTATTGGGAGACAGTGGTGGGAAGTGGTGACCTCAGAGAGAGACCCTGACATCAGCCAGGTAGGACAGGGATACAAGGCACCTCAGAGACACCACCATCCCTTATGGCTTTGTGGGAAACCGTTCCAAAGGGGGAGGGAGCTGGAATTGCTCGGAGACTGATCCCATCTGGTGGTGACCTGGGCCATCCTTTGGGACATCTGGTAAGATCTCTCAGCCTCCCACTTCTCAGAGTCTCAATGCTGATTGGCTGAGCAGGGGGCTATTGACAGAGAGGAAAAGTTTTCCCAATTTCCCAACTGTGACCGATGGCTGACTTTTCCTTTGCAGGGTCTGCACAAGGGCTTGTGTGACCTCAGGCAGGGCATGCTGTGGAACCTGTTGGCAGAGTCCCCAGATACAGACAGGCTCCAATACATCTTGGAGGTGAGCGTGATCAGGAGGAGCAGGGGGCAGTTTTATCTTAGTGCTGGGGAGAAGTGGAAAGGAGAGACTGGAAATGCATTTTCTAGTCTGTCCTACTAGCCTGCACCCCAGTGGGCCATCCTTGGTTAAGGCAGTCAGGGCAGTGTTATATTGGGTCCTTCCTCTGTCAGGGTATGTCTACACTACCCTCCTAGTTCGAACTAGCGGAGTAATGTAGGCATACCGCACTTGCAAATGAAGCCCGGGATTTGAATTTCCCGGGCTTCATTTGCATAAGCCGGGTGCCGCCATTTTTAAATCCCGGCTCGTTCGAACCCCGTGCCGCGCGGCTACACGCGGCACGGACTAGGTAGTTCAGACTAGGCTTCCTAGTCCGAACTACCATTACTCCTCGTGGAATGAGGAGTAACGGTAGTTCGGACTAGGAAGCCTAGTCCGAACTACCTAGTTCCTGCCGCGTGTAGCCGCACGGCATAGAGTCCACACTAGCGGACGTTTAAAAATGGCGGGGCCCCGGGAGAAGCAAA